AAATTAAAACCATATGCTAGATTTTTCTTTACCATTGTTTTAAAGGCAAACAAAAAGTATGATGCATTCACTAGAGGGAAAAAGTTATGGAAATTGGGTGAAGTTCAGTCAATCAAAACCACTTTACATTCATGATATTTATGCCAGATGAGGAATGACATCATCTAACCCAAGCTACCACTGTCCCCCACATTTCGACTATAGCTGTAGCCTTTTTTATGTTTTAATTCAGCTGAACTCAATATTGATATAGTCTCTGAGTCTCAATTTCTTCATCTATTAAATGGGTACAATAACTCTTCCAATCTCATGAGAATGTGTGAGGATTAAATAAGCATACAGGTATAGTAGCATTAATTTGTTGCCTGGCACACAAAAAGTGCTGTATAAATGTTACCTATTATTACCTGAATAAATGTTCAGTCTCCATGAGTCCAGTGCTGGAATGGCATCGCATATAAGAAACAAGTCTAATTTCAAAAAACAAACAAACAAAAAACAAAACAAAAATGTAAGTAAAAAGTAATTTAAATCTTAACATATTGAGACTCTCAAAGAAAACAAAAAGATCCATTTCAAAATCCACAGCAGCTTCTAAATATCTTCCTTCCCAGCTCCTTTTGCTCAAAATGTTTCTGCTAACTCTACACCTGCCCTGAACCCTCTATATCCACCCCCACTCTCAATTCACAATAAAACACTGCTCATTTGGCTCTTTCTTCTTTACAGATCCCTTTTCTTATAAGCAGTTCTCAGTCTACTTCCTAATATAAATTAATCATCTAGTCTTACTCCTTGAAATTTTACAGCTGTTTTTTACCCATTATCCTTTTACACAAGTCTAGAAACTGAGCTAGCAGATCTAGATTCTCTTTTGGTAGGTAAGAAGCAAAAGTAAGTGCGGCCAGAGACAGAATTTTCTTCTGTGAGTAGAAATAATTATTACAAACACGTAGTTTAATATCTCCTCACCCCAACTGCAATATTTATTATTATTATCGCTATTACAGGACTGAGGGCTGGCTATTGAATCCTCTTTAGAAACCCTGAGTGCTGAGTACCAACCCCCACTGGAACCCTTAAATATGCCACAGCTAGTTTGTGTTCTTGGAAATTCACAAAATACCTAAGCCCCACTGTGTTCTATGCTGAAGTGGAGTATCCTTAACTCACCATTTTGTTTTACCTCTCTATCCTATGAATGATATCACATCACCAAAGTCAGCTTTCCAATGTTTTACAAAAATTTCTATGAGAAAGCTCTTCTAGTTTCTTTATAGCCCCTGCACCTTAAGGCATTAGTGAAGTGTGGTAGTTTGGTTAGGGTTGGGAGGCATGGCCAGAGAATACTGCTCTTCCCCTTTTCACTACCAATCCTGGTCCTCCAACGCTGCCTGCGCGGAGAATTTTTTTCTACAGGAAATGCCTTGTTTTCTGCTATGAAAAGAAATTACTAGTTGCCTTTCCCCACAGGCCCTCGAGCCATGCCCAGATGTTGTCTGAGTTTTAAGTGGGCATAGTGGGTTCATGCACGCTGGAAGCCTTGCCACACCAAGAGCTCACTCCCCAACTGTG